GCAATCCCGATCCAAATACCAACAACATTCTTTAAAGAGATGGAAAAACTAATCATTAACTTTATATCAAAAGGGAAGAAGCCCCGAGTAAGTAAAGCATGACTGAAGAAGAAGATTAAAGTAGGAGGACTCGCACTGCCTGACCTCAGAACCTACTACACAGCTACAGTAGTGAAAACAGCCTGGTACTGGTACAACGACAGATACATTGACCAATGGAACAGAATTGAGAACCCAGAGGTAAATCCATCCACCTTAAAAAAAAAAAAAAAAAATCTTTTTTTAATTAGATGGAGGGGCAAGTTGATGGATGGCCTTGATTTCCAAAGTAACTAGTAAGGTTTGACAAAGACCCTTGAGAAAGAAAGGGACATGATAAAAAACAGTGATTAAAGAAGAGTAATCATTCTGTAGTACAGAAAATAGATTGGAACAGGGAGAGTCTAGATGTAGGCAGAGCATCTTAGAATCTTTGGCAGTTTTTCTGAAAATATACACCTGAACTTGGATGGAAGCTGTGAAAATCTGGTTTCTGGGTGTGGGCAGGGATTGATTAATCACTGTAGATAATTTTCACTTGGGCTTCCTGAAGTGTACCCTTATCTGAACTTTTGTTCCAAGGCCACCTAAAGCAGAATATAAACTTTCAGCAGTTTAAAATGCCTTTTTAAGCAAACAAACATTAAGAGATAATCCAACTCATTAGACTAGGCAAAGGCCTGGGGTCTGCCATTCTGAGTTAACTCCTTAATCTGATACGTGAAATAAACTACTTTGTCCACACCTCATCCCTAAAACTACAAATACATCACAACAGACATAACTGAGAATTTGACGAATATAATAGCTATAATTAATTCAATTCAACTAAATTGGAAAATTCTCGAAATGGGTTCTAAATAATATTTATATCAACAAACAAAAGAGCATTACTTCCAAAATAAAATGCATACCACTTCCATAGCTACTAAATTGATATCAAGTAAAATACATTAGCTGAAAATATGTTATTTCTCTACTATATATTTTTGAAAGAATTTTATTTCCTCTGTGTCCACATGCAGGTTAAGGACTGTGTACAAGGCCACACGTAGTACAGTTGCGCAGGTTGTGTAATGAACAACAGCACTGTATCTAAGGGGGTGCTTTCTCATCAGACACCAAACCAAAAACCAAACCCATAGCCATCAACTCGATTCCGACTCATAGCGACCCTATAGGACAGAGTAGAACTGCCCCATAGGGTTTCCAAGGAGCAGCTAGTGGATTTGAACTGCTGATCTTTTAGTTAGCAGCCAAGCTCTTAACCACCGCACAACCAGAGCTCCCATCAGACACCACAGACATAAATATTTATTGAGAAAAATCTCCAACCACTGGCGGCCAAGTTTCTTTTTCCAACAAAATCAATATAGTAAGATAATTTTCTGACAAGTGGAAGAAAACTGTCTTGAAGAAAGGAGACCTTTTTCCAGTTTGCATGAAGAAGCCACAGTGGTGAGCAGTAGTTTAGTTAAAAGAATAAACATCATGCTGCTTAGAAAATTACTACAAAGTAAAACCTTTTGAATGTGCAGAAAAGTGGGGTTTAGCCAGAGGAAGACATAATTCAAAATCACAGTTTTGATGTTAAATCCCTCTGCCTCCATTTTACTTGAGACCTCTTTTCTAAAGTGGAAGACGTGAGAAGGTGTCCCAGAGGACTTAAAGAAATGAATTTACTGCTTTGTTTTTTGGTGAGTCCTGCAGTTTGAGAAAAGGTTGGTGGTTTGTTGTCTGGCAAGCAGTTAGGTAGGCGTGTGTGCTGATTTGTAGTGTTTGCAAATTTCTGTGATGCAAATACTCCAAACATAGCTGATCTGAAGATACCAATGTGTGGACAACTGAATTCCAAAATTCCTGACAATATAACAATCAGCTTTCACCAGCCAGTACTAGCCAGCTCAGTACACTGCTGGAAAGGGTCATTAGTTTAAACAAGTCCAGCTTGTCAGGTTTATAGGGCCCAGCTGATGTTTGCAGAGGCAAGCTCAAGATCTGGCCTACTAAAACCAGCTGCTGTTGAGTCCACTCCGACTCATGGCAAACCCACGTGTGGCAGAGTAGAACTGTGCTCCAACAGGTTTTCAATGGCTGTGACTTTTCGGAAGTAGATTGCCAGGCCTTTCTTCTGAGGCAGAAAGGTGGACTCTGGGTGGACTCGAACCTCCAACCTTTCAGTTAGCAGCAGAGTGCATTAACTGTGCCTGCCAGGGACTCCTCTGGCCCACTACACAAGGGCTTATCTCAGGGGCAGCTGCTTCTGAAAAAAGGAAATCAGATGCCTTCTTTGCAAATTATCTCCTTTCCCCCGTATCCAATTTAAAATACCTAATTACATTGCTCAACTTGATTCAATAAGCGATCACTTTCATCCGTGATAACTCTCAGATTAGTCTCAGTAAAACAATCAACGAACAAGGTAATGTGAGCGGTACATACACTTTCTGGGATCTTGAGACCAAGGAAATAGGAGCTGCAGCCGTTGGGTTCCTGAGGCTTGTAGCCAGGTCTGGGCATCGGTGCCTTTCCTAGCAGGAGGAAGAGAGGGAAGAAGCAAGAATTAAGCATTTGGGAACATTCATCAAATTAAAATTATCTAACAGCAGATTCGATTTTTCCTTCAAAAGTCACTGTTCCTCACCAGATATTCACATCTAAATTAGGTGGTGGTGGTGATGATGATGCTATCCTAAAAGAATAATAAGCCTTTAGACCAGTATGGCATTTTCCTCCTAATCTGAAAGCATTTTATGAGCATGTATTTACTAGCAGTTCTAACATTGCTCGAGTGACCTTGAAGACAAGGTCCATGGCAAAACCAAAGCTAAAACTCAAGGTTTCTGATTCCTCTACCCACTGTAATACCACACACCATGCACAGAACCAGAAGAATGCTACCTGGTCATACACTTAAGGAATCAGAATCACAGGACCACAAAAAAATCTTTCATAATTACTTGAAGGAAGTTTAGAAAGACTCCATTTGTTAAACAAAGCATTATCGGCCAAACAGCAAAGAAAACACCGCTATGCAGTATTTTAGGCAATTGTATCATATGTCAAAAGAACTGGAGCTCTGGTGGCACAGTGGTTAAGAGCTACGGCAAGCTATGGCTGTTAACCAAAAGGTTGGCAGTTCAAATCCCTCAACTACTCCTCGGAAACCCTATAGGACAGTTCTACCCTGTCCAATAGGGTCACTATGAGTTGGAATTGACTTGATGGCAGTGGGTTTAGGTTTTGTTTTGTTTTGTTTTTTTAAATCATAAAACTAGTAGAAACAACCTGAAAAGCTTTGAATTTCTTGGTGTTTCCTAGATTGCTTTTGAGTTATGTTTTATGATCTTGCAAATGTGTAGAGAAGCTCTGTCTTGTATCTATGGCAGTCATCATAGCTGAAGATAACCCTGACGTCTTGATGTCATGAAGACATCAAGACAGGACAGTCATGAAGTAGATACTTTTTCTCATTTTTCAGAAAAGGAAAAAGGAGCTAAGAGATTAAATGACTTGCCTAAGGCCATCCAGGAAGTGAGGGAAATACGATGTAAATCCAGATTTCCTGCTTGTCTCCAAAGCCCATGTATTTGTACTGCAGTTCTCTGCTCTTAGGAGATACAAGACATAGCATAAGACTGAGGAAATAGGCTAAGAATTAATCCTCAGAGTGAGGCATATGGCAGTCTTTTTTCTTTCTTTAAAAAAAAAAAAAAAAAAAAACTCCCACCAGATATTTCATCTTTAATTATTTTGTATTATAAAATATTTCAGAACTGAAGGAAAGTCTGAGAAACAAACATCCATATACCCATTACACAAACATAATAAATGTTAACATTTGCCAAATTTGTTTCAGATATTTCTTCTGTTAAATTACATGTTACAGGTATAGTTGAAGCCTCTTACGTACTCCATCAGCTTTAATTTTAAGGCATTAAATCCATGTTTTAAAGTTCTTCCTCCTTATTATTCCTCAAAATTGTCTGGATTATTCTTGGACTTTTACGCTTGTACATGAATTTTACAGTCAGCTTAGTAAGGTCCACAAGAAATACTGTCAGGATTTTGGTTGAAAATACATTGGATTTATAGATTAATTTGGAGACAACTAACTTTCTTATGGTAACTGGCTTCCCTACATGGACATAGTATAAACCGAAAAACCAAACCCACTGCCATCGAGTTGATTCCAACTCATAGTGACCCCGTAGGGTCTCTAAGGCTGTAAATCTCTACGGAAGCAGACTGTCACATCTTTCTCCCACAGAGCGACTGGGGGTTTTAAACCACCAACTTTCGGTTGGCAGTCAATCGCTTTAACCACTGTGCCACCAGGGCTCCTTAGGACACAGTATAGTTCTCCATTTATGTAGGCCTTCCCCTATGTCCTTCAATAAAGTGTTATAATTTTCCCCATACTTATTATATTTCCTACATATCTGTATTATTCAGACGCTTAAGCAAAATAGAATGTCTCATACAAAAGTCCAGAAGGATCATAAGGCTGATATGGCAAGGCTGCAGTTTTCTGAGACCCAGACTACTTCCAGCTTTCTGCTTTACCAGCCCTAGAGTGTAACCTTGGCTCTCATGCTCTAAGATGGAGCATTGGCCAACTCATCCCATTATGAAGAGCCAGATGAAACAAGGGGTTAGAAGATGCATAGTCCCTCTCTTTAATAAGCAAGTTTCAGAATGTTACACGCATCACTTCCTCTTACTTCCCTTTGGCCAGACCTTAGTCAAATGATCACAACTTCTTGCAAAGGTGGCCTAGGAAATGAAGTCTTTAGTCAAACTACGCAGCCATGCACTCACTTAAAATTTGGGAAGAGGGCTTATTATAGTAGAAAAGGAAGAATAGATATTAGGGGACAATTAGCAGTCTCTGGGTATTTGGGCACACGTTGCTGTGGTGCAACATGTGGTCAAGATTTTGGTCCAAGATACCCCATTGATCCCACCTTCTGATACTCACACCCTTGTCTAGTCCCCTTACAATGTCCCAGGGTTGGTCTGTGGGACCAATAGAATCTGGCGGAAGTTGCCGGGATGGGTATGTTACTTCCAAGATTAGGTTTGTTAATTACTGTCTCAGTTATCCAGTGTTGCTATAACAGAAGTACCACAAGTGGCTGGCTTTAATAAACAGAAATCTATTATCTCATTGTTTAAACGAAATAACCCATTGCCACCAAGTCGATTCTGATCCACAGCGACCCTATAGGACAGAGTAGAACTGCCCCATAGGGTTTCCAAGGCTGTAAATCTTTACGGAAGCATCCCATGGAGCGGCTGGTGGGTTCAAACCACCAACCATTCAGTTAGCAGCCAAACACTTTAACCACTGTGCCACCAGGGCAACTTTAACACAATATAGGAGGCTAGAAGTCCGAATTCAGGGTGCCACCTCTAGAGGAAGGCTGTCATCTCTGGAGGAAGGTCTTTATCTCTTCTCAGCTTCTGCTCCTGGGCGAGCATGTGGCTTGGCGTATGTCTTCCCCCATCTCTGCTTCTCTGGTTTGCTTGTTTAATCTCTTTTATGAGTCAGAATGGACTCGACACAGAGGGTTTGGTTTCATTTGGTTTTATATCTCAAAAGAGATTGACTTAAAACACACCCTACACTAATCCTGTCTTATACAAAAAATAAACTTACTGCCTTCAAGTGCTTACTCATAGCGACCCTATGTACAACAGAACAAAACACAGCCCGATCCTGCACCATTCTCACAATTGTTGCTATGGTTGAGTCCATTATTGCAGCCACTGTGTCAGTCCACCTCGTTGAAGGTCTTCCTCTTTTTCACTGACCCTCTACTTTACCAAGCATGATGTCCTCCTACAGGGACTTGTTCCTCCCGATAACATGTCCAAAGTGCATAAGACAAAGTCTTGCCATCCTTGCTTCTAAGGAGCATTCTTCCAAGACAGATTTGTTCATTCTCCTGGCAGTCTATGGTATATTCAATATTCTTCTCCAACACCATAATTCAAAAGCATCAATTCTTCTTCGGTCTTACTTATTCATTGTCCAGCTTTTGCATGCATGTATGAGGCGACTGAAAATACCATGGCTTGGGTCAGGTGCACCCTAGTCCTCAAAGTGATATCTTCACTTTTGAACACTTTGAAGAGGTCTTTTGCAGCAGATTTGTCCAATGCAATATGTCATTTGATTTCGTGTCTGCTGCTTACATGGGCATTGATCGTGGATCCAAGTAATATGAAATTCTTGACAACTTCAGTATTTTCTCACTTTATCATATTGTTACTTATTGGTCCAGTTGTGAGGATTTTTGTTTTCTTTATGTTGAGGTGTAATCCATACTGAAGGCTCTCTAGTCTTCGATCTTCATCAGTAAGTGATTCAAGTGCTCTTTGCTTTCAGCAAGCAAGGTTGTGTCATCTCCATATCACAGGTTGTTAATGAGTCTTCCTCCAATCCTGATGCCTCATTCTTCCTCATACAGTCCAGCTTCTCGGATTATTTGCTCAGCGTACAGATTGAATAAGTATGGTGAAAGGATACAACCCTCACACACACCTTTCTTGATTTTAAACCGCACAGTATCCCCTTGTTCTGTTCCAACAACTGCCTCTTGGTCTATCTACAGGTTCTGCATGAACACAATTAAGTGTTTTGGAATTCCCATTCTTCACAATGTTATCCATAATTTGTTATGATCCACACAGTCAAATGCCTTTGCATAGTCAATAAAGCCCAGGTAAACATCTTTCTGGTATAGAATTTCACCCATTTAACATGTACATATCAATGGTTTTTAGTATCTTCACAAAGTTGTGCAACTATTACCTCAATCAATTTTAGGACATTTTTGTCAATCCAGAAAGAAACCCTGTACCTATGAGCAGTCACTCTCTATCCCCTCTGCCCCACTCTGTTGTTGTTAGTTGCCACTGAATCGATTCTGACTCATGGCGACCCGCTGTGTGCACAGTAGAACTCCATAGAGTTTTCAAGGCTGTGACCTTTCGGAAGCAGATTGCCAGACCTTCTAGGTGGGTTCAAACTGCCAACCTTCCAGTGCCTAACCATTTGTGCCACCCAGGGACTCTGTCCCACTCTGTTGTTGTTAGGTGCCACTGAGTCAATTTCGACTCATAGAGACCCCATCCATGTGACTGAGTAGAACTGCCCCATAGGGTTTTCTAGACTGTAATCACCAAGTCTTTTCCTCCTCAGTGCAGCTGAGTGGGTTTGAACCACCAACTTTTTGGTTCACAGCTGAGCACTTAACCATTGTGCCACTAGGGCTCTTCTTAGGGCACCACTAATCTACTATATATATAATCTACTCTATAAATTTGCTTATTCTGGACATTTCACATAAAAGAAATCGTACAATATATGACCTTTTATGTCTGGCTTCTTTCACTTAGCATAATGTTTTCAAGATTCATGTATATTATAGTATATATCAGTACTTCAAATCTTTTTATTCCAAATAATATTCCATTGTATGGATATACCTGATTTTGTTTATCCATTCATCAGTTGATGAAC